AACCCTAGCAAGTGCACTAGTTATCAAGTAGTATAACAATATCGTTCCCACGGGGATTTAACAAAATAAGTATTAGAACCACCGTCTTCCCTAATTATTTGGACAATCGAAATTCAGGTTGAGAGAGATCTATTGAAAATAAAGACTAGAGAAAGATAATAGAAACAAAGGTGATCACTAATTGAATCTGCAATGGATGAAATCGCTAGGACTTTTGGTCCACCTAACCAATATAATGAATATTGATGGGTTCGATTAACCAAGATTATTTGTCATTCCCATAAGCTGAGATTTTCCCAAATTTATTTAATATTCTCTCTCGAGATATATTAAACCTACGCCCATCAGGTAACCCTTCGATCTCTCGAGTAGAGCTCTCAAGATGGAAGTGCATTAGTCAATTATGTGAATTCCTCTCTCGATCCATTCACATAACTCAAATCAATTAAGAGGTGGCCAAGCTCTTAATTGCATTAAGCACAATAATTCATAGACTATATGGAAATCACAATCTTGGATAAATCATAAAAATAAAAATATATTCATTAACATGATTAGGCTTTCCTTAGCCCTAGTAAGAAACAAATCAGTTCATGATAGAAGAATTAAAGTAAACAAAGGGAAAGAAAGAACTCTTGAATTCGCCCATGGTGCTGAGATCTCCTCTTCTTGCTGCCACCTTCTTCTTGAAGTTTCTTGAATTATTGAACCTTTCTTGAACCTTTCTAGACTGGTTGCTCCTTGCTTCTTGATTCAATCCCCAAGATTGAGTGATTGTGTGATACCYAAAGCTGRTCYGCCCCCTCCTTTATATAGCTTAAAGGGGAGGGGGTGGTCTCCTACTTTCTCTTGAAGTTGATCTTTACAAGAATAGAAAGTCCTATCCTAATTCTAATCTTATCTCTTTATCTAATGAACCCAATCCCTTTATCTTTAAGATTACATCAAGAATTTAGATCTGGAAGGACTCTTCTCAATTTCTTGTTCTTGGATTCATATTAGACCTCCTCTGCGAATTGGACTTCAGCCAGGCTTTTCTGCAAGTTGGGCTTCAACTGTGGATTGGACCTTCCTATGAATTTTCCCTGTCTTCGGGCCCGGATTTGACTTCGATGCAGACCGAATCAGCGAAAGCCCAAAATCCGAAAGTTGTGGCTTTTTCTCTTATCTTTCCAGTGGGTCTTGAATTAGCCCATTCGAAGTTCGGAGATGCGAGTTAGGCCCAGATCACTGAACGATGTTGAAACTGTGACAAATCATCCGATTTGTCTTTCTTTGCTCCTGATGCCTTCTTTCATACCCTGAACAGAAATATGAGTCCAATTAGGTGCTAATTCAGTATAAAAGACAGAATAATTGGGGATAAAAATATGATAAATTCTACTCTCATCAGCAAGGTTGACTACTTTGCGGTATTTGTTGACCGTCCGTCCTACTGAACCGACTGATCTAGTGATGTAGGATGTAGTTGCTAGTATTGCTATTACCAGCGCTGTTGTTGCTACTGTTGAAGAGGTTGTTGTTGAAGCTATCGCCGCTGAACTTATGATTTCTGTTGTTGCTAGATTGGTTTTCATGATTTAAGTTATGACAAAGGGGTTGTTGGCTATTGCAAGGTTGACTACTTTGCGGTATTTGTTGATCGTCCATCCTGCTGAACCGGCTGATCTAGTGTTGTAGGATGTAGTTGCTAGTATTGCTATTGTCGGTGCTGTTGTTGCTACTGCTAAAGAGGTTGCTGTTGAAGCTATCGCTGTTGAACTTGTGATTGCTGTTGTTTCTAGATTGGTTGTTGTTGTTGTCTAGTAATGAATACGGATCTGTTTTCCCATGACCGCATTTGTTTGGTCATGTTGTGGGCGCATCATACCAAGTCATTAAACTGCTATAGATCTACTACTGTGGGAGGTGCCACAAGATTCATAACCGAAGGTGGGGGTAGCATGTTCGCATTTTCATGCATGTCAGTTTGTGGTAAGGGGATGTCTATTTGCCCTATCATGACTATTGGCACTTGGCCATTAATATTGTTAGCAGAAGGGTTGCTTGAGTTCGCCATTGAAAAGACTTCTTTTGAACGGAATGAGATAGAATGAATAAAAGGAAACACTAGCTTTTTGCTGCGTTTCCCATAGAAGTTGCCAGTTGATGATGCACAATTCACTCATTCCCTCGTGTCTGATGGTATGGCTCGAACTAAGTCCAGACCTGTCAATGGAGAGCTGTGATGCTGAGCGGAGAGATTCAATAAAGATAGATAGGTTAGAGTGCCTAGGTATATTTTACCCAGGAAAACACTCCGATGCTTAAGCCAGAGAGGAGATTTGATGGGAATCTTTGAGAGAGTTTAAGAGCTTTAGTGCGCATAGCATTCAGAGTGCCTCTGGGTTCTTTTTTATAGTTACTAGGTGTTCTGGTGTTATTAACTAGCGTCTTTGAGCTTTCTGCGGAGTTGTTTCCACAGTTTGATGGAGTATTGGGCCGTTAGTTGCTAGATTTGTGCGGCGGTTACAGGTCGCTCGCTAGTCTCGTGGTGCACAGTTTAGTGAGTTGTTTCTGTAGTTTTGCTAACGGTGCTAGAACGGACATGGAATGCGAGACGGTTTTGAGCAAGTTGTCATTGTCGATGGGCTGATCTCACCTCAGCCCGGCTGCACACTTGTTATAAATTACCATGTGCTGAACTGGCGAGCTGTTTTGCTGAGTTAGACGTTGTGTTGCTGACAGCGTCCATATGCCCGTCGTTAAGTGGAAACCGTCCATAGCTTTGCGCTGAACTGGCGAATGGTTGAACCATTGACACATTCAACCCAATGATTGGTTTGTGGGTTGCACACTAAGTGTATGCAAACTTCCAAAGTCCATAGCTTTGCGCTTGGATATGATTTTTTTTAGGTAACTTTATGAGATTTATGCATCCCAATAGGTCATAGGCTCCTTCACACAATATTTTTGCAAAATAAAAACTTTTTTGGCCTTAAATAATAATTTTTTATTTTATAAGAAAATTAAAATTAATAGATCTTATGTTTTCAATATATGTTATAAAAATAAAATTAAAAGGTTGTGGATTGGGTTGGGTCAAAATTGGGTTGAACCCTATTGAGTTGGATCAAGTTCAAAAAATGCATCTTATAATATGTTGGCTCAGGTTTGGTTTATGTAGGAACATTAAAGAGTCAAGTTAGGCAAGGGTTTTCAATGGGTTAGATGTGCCCAACAAACTCAAACCATCCAAACAGATTATAACAGTTCTGGTTCAATGATTTTATCAAGATTAATAATTAAGATAGTTTTGGTTCTTTCTTGTCCCAAATCGTTTCACATTTTATGCTATAAATGGTAAATTTGATGGATAAAAAATGAGATAATATTAAATAAAAAGATTCGTTTATTAATATATAAATTTAAATTATTATTTAAATAAACAAATATAGTTTTTGATATATTTGGATCTATCAAGTTCAAACCAATAGACCCAACTATCAATTGGAATGGGTATGGGTCTATGATTTTGGCCCGATTAACAATCCGTTTGAGGTTGCGTCTACCTAGACCAAACTTGTTGGCTGCCCTAGGTTAGATTGAGGCAAAGACATGCTAAACCTAACCTATTATTGACATCCCTAGCTTTAGGCAATCCTTCAAGGTTAATTAATTAGTTAACTAGATATGATTAGTAATCAACTATCTAGTTAATTAATTGATAGTTACTAATAAAATATAAATATATATTATGTAATTTGTTATTTTTTATAATATATATATATATACACATCTCTAGTATTTATACTATATATTTGTATATTTATTTATAACATATATTATAAATATCACAAAACTAATGAAATAATATATGCAATATACAATGTTTACATATGCAATAATAAGATGAAATAATAAGAAGAATTTTTAAGATTATCATCTTGCAACGATCTTAACTAAAAACGAATCACAACAACAAGTAGCACTTCTCATTGGCTAGGATCTATGGTCCAAATACCTAGTTTAACCAGCATATGAAAAGTTACCCGAGACGGAGACGATCAAGCGTGGACTCCGGGATGGAAAAGAATTGCATACTATAGATGTCTCGGTCAAGCTCTTTTTCTTGCCGTATAGGTTCCGCTGACAGGTTGTAAAGACTTTGCAAGTCTAGGTCAAAGTCTTGATCTTTTTATAATTTTTTTCTTTCAATTAGTTGCCATTCGTAATAGTCAGGTTTTTGTGTCTTTCCCCGGCCCTTTTCCTTTGTCCTTCCAAAACTCTTTATCGCTACTTGGTTGTCAAGGCCTTATCAATATGGTGTGGTATAATAATGTTTAATTAATTAATATGCATGAATACATCTTTATATTAACATATATATATATATATATATGAAAAATTTGATTCATTTTTGTTTAGTTATTTACTCTTAGTCAATGTTTTAAAAAATGATCTGAAATTGGAACTGTTTTGGCCATCGGTTTCTAGGTTGATGGTTCGATCATTCAGTTCAAACAGACGATCCATTCTGACAATAAAAGTTTAAAAAAATAAAAAACTGCCAAAATCATTGAATGGATTAGGGATTTGACCACCCGGGTCAATAGGTTGTTGACCGATTCAATGGTTTTTGACCAAGAACCAAGTTTCGAGAAAAACGAAACCAGTTGCCTAGACAATTTCCGGGCTAAATGATCCAACAATTGGGTCAATGGCAGTTCGAAAACCATGCTCTTAGGTGTTTTAGTGATTCTTTGTTTTGGGAATTTTCGTTTTATGTATTTGGGTTTGTCTTAATACAAAAAGTGGAGCAGATGGTTGGTTTCTTCATTCACTTATTCTGATTTCAATCCAATCTTTAGAGATGTTTATATGTTACTCAAAAAAGAAAACAAGTCACTTGGGAGTGGACTCATCCGTTTACTACAAGGTAAAAATAAATCAAGACGTGTAGAAGGGATTACAAAACCAAAAGTTTTACTCCTGTTTCCTTGCTTGTAATTTATACACACTTGCCGGCTTGCTGCAGCTCAAATTTCCAAACTCTTAGAGCCATAACTGCCTGGTTATGAATTATGATCATGGGGAAGATTTTTCTCATCGCTATTGTTACCATGTTATGCTTATGCATGCCATGGCTCGCCTCAGCTTATTCCTCCAACCTTACTGATCAATCCGCTCTTCTAGCCTTCAAAGCCCGGACCTTGATGTTTGATCCACACAACCTCTTGGCTGATAATTGGACTACCAACTCCTCCTTCTGTGATTGGATAGGTGTTTCTTGCAGCCACCGCAGACAAAGAGTCACCGCCTTAAAACTTGCCAACATGGGCATCGGAGGCGTCATTGAGCCACGTCTCTGCAACCTCTCCTTCCTCGCAGAACTTGACCTCAGAAACAATAGTTTCCATGGACACTTGCCATATGCACTTGGCAAGTTGGCTCGACTGAGACGAATCGACTTGTCATGGAATCAGTTGGATGGAATGATTCCACCCAGCTTATCAAACTGCCGGAAGCTTGAAGAAATTTCACTCTCAGTCAACCAGTTAACTGGTGGTATCCCAAGAGAGATTGGAATGTTGAGTAATCTTCGTTTATTAGCTGTCACAAATTGTAGTCTCAATGGCACCATCCCACCTTCCATCGGCAATTTATCCTCGCTACAGGTGCTTGCATTTCAGACCAACAATTTACAAGGAAGTATTCCGAGGGAGATTGGAGGTCTTCATAACTTGCAGGAATTATTTCTGAATCATAACCAACTAACGGGTACTATTCCTTCTACCATATTGAACATCTCTACTCTGCAGTATTTGGTTCTCACAAACAACAGCATCTCTGGTAGTCTTCCGATGAATATTGGGTATGGCCTTCCGAACCTTAGAGGCCTTTATCTTAGTATGAATCAATTCAGCGGCCAGATTCCATCTAGTTTAGGGCAGTGTGGAAGGCTTGAAGATCTAGCATTGTATGTCAACAAGTTCACTGGCAGCCTGCCCGGAGAAATTGGGAACCTGTCAAACCTAAGGCGCCTAGCTGTCTTCAAAAATTTGTTGGCAGGTACTATTCCTTCGTCTATAGGTAACCTTTCAAATTTGATGACGATTGACTTGGGTGAAAACTACATAATTGGGGAAATTCCACGAGAACTTGGTTATCTACAAAATCTCCAATTCTTGAACTTTGAAGGGAATAATCTCACTGGGTCAATACCAGAAGAGATTTTTAACATTTCAACTCTTAGATTGCTTGCCCTAAATGCTAACCGTCTTTCTGGGCATCTTCCTTCAAACATGGGACATGTGCTTCATCAACTTGAAGAATTGGGCCTTAGTAATAACAGCCTCACTGGGCCAATACCTGATTCAATCTCCAATGCTACCCAATTAACTTTTTTGGACCTGGGTTGGAACTCCTTTAAGGGACCAGTGCCCACATCGTTGGGGAATCTACAACAACTCCGAGTTCTCAACTTGGTGCGTAACCAACTAACTAGTCAACCAGACACTCCGGAACTCGTTTTTCTCACCTCACTAACAAATTGTAGGTCCTTAGAATTTTTGAACATAGGGTTCAATTGGTTGAATGGTATCCTTCCAGATTCTGTTGGGAATTTATCAGCTTCTCTTAACATATTTGCGGGAGATGAGTGCCAAATTAGGGGAAGTATTCCCGCAGGGATTGGGAACTTGAGCAATTTAATCACTTTACATTTTCCTGGAAACAACATTGGTGGGACCATCCCGTCAACAATACAAGGGTTAAAAAAGCTTCAGAGGTTATACCTTGACGCAAACAATCTGCAAGGATCCATACCAAACGAGATCTGTAATTTGACACAATTAGGAGAACTGAGTCTTTCCAAAAATAAGTTGTTTGGACAAATACCAAAATGCATAGGGAATCTCCGTCAGCTACAACAGCTCTTCATGTCATCCAATATGTTAACATCTCCAATACCTTTAAGTCTATGGACTATTCCAAATCTCTTATATTTGATCTTGTCAAATAATTCTTTGCATGAGAGCCTACCTACAGCGGTGGGAAACTTGAAGACTTTAGTGCAATTAGATACATCCGGGAATCAGTTATTTGGTAGCATTCCAGGTACCATTGGTGACCTCCAAACGCTAAATTATTTGAGCTTGTCACGAAATTCATTCCAAGGCCCTATTCCAGAAACATTGGGCAAGTTGTTGAGTTTGGAAAATCTGGATCTTTCTTTTAATGATCTATCAGGCAACATTCCCAAGCCGATGGTGAAACTTCTGTTTCTCAGATTTTTGAATCTATCACATAATAGGCTTGAAGGAGAAATTCCAAGTGAAGGGCCCTTTGCAAACTTCACGGCAGAATCATTCCTGGCAAATAAAGCACTTTGTGGCTCATCAAAATTTGGAGTCCCAACCTGTACCATTTATTCTGCAAAGGGAAAGACAAAATTGCATCTGCTTAAATTTGTTCTTCTCACCATTGTTTCCTCTGCAGTCATTTTTGCTCTCTTGTTTCTGCTACTAAAACGTCGAATGGGGAAGAAGAATATTCCCCAAAGTGTCGATTCATTGCATGCAATAGAGCATAGAATGGTTTCCTACTATGAGCTACTTCAAGCAACAAACAACTTCCATCATGAAAACCTACTTGGAACAGGGAGTTTCAGTTCAGTATACAAAGCTACATTGTCTGATGGAATCATTGTTGCTGTGAAAGTTTTGGATCTGCAACATGAAGGGGCAATTAAGAGTTTTGATGCAGAATGTCAGGTGTTACGTAATGTTCGTCATAGAAACCTAGTCAAAATAATCAGCAGTTGCTCCAATCTTGATTTTAGAGCTTTGATAATGCAATATATGCCACAGGGGAGCCTTGAAAGATGGCTATATAGCCATATCTATTTCTTGAATCTCCTTCAGAGAATAAACATCATGATCGACGTTGCCTTAGCACTGGAGTATCTACATCAAAACCAATCAGAGCCCGTGGTTCATTGTGATCTGAAGCCCAGTAATGTCCTCCTCGATGAAGACATGATAGCTCATGTGGGTGACTTTGGCATTGCAAAGGTATTAAGTGCAAATAAATCTGTAGCACAAACCAAGACCCTGGGCAGCATAGGGTACATTGCACCTGGTATGAGTTCTTCCATATATACAAAATCTACCATTGGTACATTAATTGTTATTATAAATGCATAGTTAATCTTGTAAATCATCATCATTTTTTATATTCATTATTTGGTTGGGTTCGACTATGATATTCAAAAGATATGATATCTGAAAAGCAACTGACCAATAAACCAGAATCATAAACGTGGTAAGGAACATGGTGTTATTTATCAAAATTCATGGGTGGGTTTTGATTGAACAAAACTCTTTCCATACCATATCTTTTCCGGTCTTTAAAACATCAATACCAACAATATAAAAAAAAAATGTTTTAAAAACCAGAGGAAACCTAAAAAGAGCCATGAAGACATTGAGAGTTTTTCATCATAACTTCTTAACCAAAACTCTCTAACCAAATGCTACATATTACCTCTCCCTCTCCTACCTCTTCCCCCAACACTTTTAGAACCCCTAGGGCCTACTTGATCTACTGTATCCATGTATACATCAGCTATCTTCCTCAGCATTCTATTTCCCAATAATCATCCATAACCATAAAGTTTTTCCAACTCATCGCCTTCTGAGACTACTTGTTTCCCAATCAACCATACCATGAATCCTTGGATGGGATCATTACACCAAGCATTGGCCCCTTTACAAAGGGATTTTGATGAACTTGGTCACAATGTTGATTACACATTTCCCGATCAAAATCCACTTTCTGTAATTACCAACTTAATACTATTTAATTTTACAATTGTAAAGCCATATGCCATGGTTTCTAAGTTTTTCTTTGTACTCTTGTTTCATGTTATGATTTCTTGGATATGGATCAACTAGAATATGGGTCTGAAGGAAGAGTTTCAACAAGCTGTGATGTTTATAGCTACGGGATCATGTTGATGGAGACATTTACAGGAAAGAAGCCTACAGATGAAATGTTTGTTGGAGAATTAAGCCTAAGAAAATGGGTACAAATGTCTCTCCCAAATGAAGTAATGGAAGTCATGGACAAAAATCTTGTTAGCAGAGAAGAAAATAATGATTCACCTATGAGACAACGAAGTTTTGTAGCCATTATGGAAATAAGTCTAGATTGTTCAAGAGAATTGCCTGAAGAGAGGCTTACCATGAAAGAAGTTGCTGCAAAACTTGATAAGATCAGAAAGCAGTTTTTGGAGACTTCAAACATTGATGAGGCATGTAACAACACTTAAAGTGTGAGTATTAGTTACCACTTGGTTTATGATCATCACTTTTGTAACACATTGAATATTAAGTTTCACTTTGTGTGCTGTGTTAGAAATAAAGTTGCTAATATGGCAGCATCACAAGGTTAGGCAAATGTATATCTAGTTGGTGACTTGGTGTATTATGCAATGATGTTAGGTTGCTTGAGTTGTCTGTTTATATTTAGAGATTAGGTTTTTGGTTTCTTTGTGTCTAATTGTTGTGGCTCTTTCTGTTTTGCTTGGTCTGTTGTTTTACATTGGTTGTTTACTGTCATTGCAGTTTTTTATTGCTATTTTAATTAACTATCTTCCAGAAGAAAAGTCAACACTTTGCTTTTGAGGAGTCTCGAATTCAAATTGGACACCCCTTCATTAATTTCATATCCTTCTTTTGTTCTCTCATTTGTTTTACCCTGAATTTTAACTTGAACATGTTTATTTAAAGAATTGTTACATGGAAGATAATTATCTTTAGAAAAAATGAATTACATTTTAAAATATTAAGAGTTCCAGACATCCGGTCACAAATAGAGGAAATCATCTCTTTACTTTGTTTCTATTTCAACTTCAGTTGGGTTGAAACGTGGAACACCAGCATCAATTATTGGGCGTCCTCATTAAAGAATAAATTATAGATCATTCTGTTTAGAGGATTTATGTTAATTCATTAGAAAGAAACCCGTGGATCATCCAGAGGGAACTCTTCTATGGTCAACTGATGGAGAATTCTTAAGTTCGACCAGAATCTTCATTTATCCTTGCATGGTTTATCTGCAAGTTGAAATATCAACAATATAACCCAATTACAATAGCATATTTCTGATAATGTAGAACAGGGTTGTGTTTTTAAGGACTCATATATCTGCTGCAATCATGGTCACAGCAGTCCCCCAAACCCGCCAACCCCCCGGGCCTCCAACAAGACATGGACTCACTAATGACAAAAAAATGCAAAGCATCTCATCATCTTTTCTATTTCCTTTCCATTTCCACCATTCTCTGATCAGCTATCCACAATGGATGTTCAGTATCCAAATAATATTCCATTGTTGGAGAAATATACTAATGAGGGCAGATTTGGCCCTCCAGTGACAATATGACATATGGCATCTCGAAACAACTGGATGACATTCAAACACCACCTATGCGATGACTTGCCTTAGCCCAAGTGATAGAGTCTCACCTGGTGACTTGCCTCCACCGCCGACCTGGTGGAAACCTGGCTGGCGACCCCATCAACAACTTATGGTGGCTAGCAGCACCTAGTCTAGGGTCAACTTGTGGCACCTCGTCACCAACCGAAGTGACCTCGATGTGAGGACCGACCTCCTTCGACCCCATCAACAACTTATGACCTGGCTGCCGACCAACTCTACATGCATATCCTGTCTCCCGGCTAGCAGCACCTCGTCGAGAGTAATACCACAAAGGCACTCATGAGTAACGTATAGTTACCTCAGGCTGTGATGAACACGCAACGCATTAAGCAAAATAACGATAAACCCATGACTCACAAACCGGCTCTAGGTAGTGGGTCTGGAGAGGACAATGGGTCGAGCCCATGGTTAGGCCCGTATGTATCCAAACACGCGCAAACCCATTATGATGAAATACTTTACAGATCACCACGAGGCCTCAACGAACATTGACCTTTGGATGGTGACATCATCGTTTCAATGTAGGATTAGTCATGGTGTACAAAGGGGGTAGTAGCACACGTGAATAATGAGGGATCTTGAGGATAAGGAAAGTTGATCCTTGAGAATATCTTCATGAAACACGTGGCGATGCCCCAGTAGTGCACCCAATAATTGCCAGCGAATAATATATTCCCTTTTCCGATACGGAGTGAAGATCCTCATCGCCTACCTTTTAGGATCTCGGGATCTTCTTCATAAATAAGGGGTATTCCTCACGTTAGAGGGCATCAAACCTAGAACATTTTAGCTACCGAGACCCTAGAATCCCCACAACTCTCTCATTTTCTCTAAGTCTCATACCAAAAGGCCTTCGCATCCCTTGGAGGCTCTCCTTCATCTTTCAAAGAGACCACTCTCCGACTTAGCCTTACATCTTACTCCTACAATAGAATCTCTGGTTTGGTCTTTGATCATGAGGGATGGCCGCGAGAAGGATCAATCTCTCTACCATCCCGGAAGAGCAAGATGACAACCCAAAAAATGCCAACCCAGAGCGGAGAGTCAACCTGAGATGGAAACACCCATCCAAGTCGACATTGAGATCTTGTCAAACAAGGTCTACGGGTTTGAGGCTTCACTCCCGCTTTTCAAAGAGCAGTTCAAGAAAGTCAAACAAGGTACGAAGGAAACAAGGAGCGCCCTTCTGCTAATTAACCGATCAGCTTAGGCCGAACGGACACCCGCCGCCACCATCCCTGTCGTTCCGAATTCTAATCCCGATCCCAGGCGTCATACCTCTAGTGCCATATCCAACCTCCCTAGTTTCCTAGAACAGCACCGCAGGGTGGACCCAACCCCATCTCAAGCAGGCTTTGCACTCGTCCAGCAGCTCCGTGCTTACCCCAGCACTGACCCGATATCAGAAGTTCCCCTTAGTAGAAATGAATTGAAAGAGTATGTCCAGGGGCTGGTGGTCGAAAGCTACAATCGAGTTCAGGATTCAGTGGTCTTATAGAAACCTTATTCTGACTGTATCCTGTACAAGCTCTATCCCACTAGGTATGTCTCTCCCCAGCAATGGCCACAATATGACAGGAAGAAGGGCAGCCCACAGGAGCATATCAGCAAGTTTGAGGATTCCCTAGGCCCTTGCATTCTCAACGGGGACCTTAAAGTACGAGAGTTCTTGAAATTGCTGACCGACCCGACGTACATGTGGTTTGTAAGTCTCACTCCTAGGAGTATTGACTCGTGGGGTGAGTTGGCTAAGAAATTCCTATCAAAGTGGTTCACTCTAGAGAGAAAGATGACAATGGCCGGCCTGCGGAATGTGGAACAGGGACCAGGTGAAAACCTCACTTATGTCCAAAGATTCCAAAGCCTCACCCATTCCGTTTTCAATGAACACGCTATTTGTCGAGCAATGTGTTCAGGGTATGCGCCCTGCATACTAGATCGGCATTGAAAACATCGAAGCAAAGACTTTCAGCCAACTCTGGAAATGTGTAGAAAAGACAGCCCGAACCATTAAGGGTGCGACCCCATACAACAGGGAGGATGCATATGTAGTTGACAGAAGACCGAGAGGCAATGGAGGAACCAGGCAAGGGTCGTACTAGAGAGGAAACACCCAAGGAAGGAGAGATATACCAGTACCTCCCCTCTTTCCTTGCACCAAGGAGGAAGTCATCATGATCTTGAGCAAACTGGTTGAAGATAGAGTTATTAACTTGCTGCCACCACCTCCGGGAGTAGATCCGGAGAAAGACAAGCTTAGTGGCAGGTGGTGTCATTATCATCAGACACCACATCATGAATTAATGGATTGCTTCAGTCTCAGGAGAATTTTTGCACAAAAAGTGAAATTGGACCAGTTCGTGACAAAAGAACCAGCCCACGTGGAAACCGATCTCCTATCGATACATGCCCAGGGAGGTAGTGTTAACGTAGTCGGGGCGATCGGGCAGCACCAAGCCAATGCTTTGATAGAGAGACTAGAGCAGAGTGAAGAGCTGCAATAGTTCTTCGCCAAGCAAGGGGCCAACATGACAATGAGGAAGCTAGCCATTAGAGCATTGGCAGAAATTTTTCGATATCCGTTACAGCCTTATAATCGTGATCATAGTAGCATCGAGTTCACGGCAGATGACATGCTAGCAGCCGACCACCTGCATAACTGGCCTCTATACATCATGGCAAGGATAGGGGGTACGATATGCAGAGATCGATGGTCGACCCTGAAATGATTTGAATAGTGGTGCATTCACCAACTAATGTTGTTGATCCATTAGGCTAAATTTAGAATAGAGTAGAGTTCTGTTCTATTAGTATAGAAATGATTTGCATGATGTCTCATCYACAGAAATCTATATTCTATTGTGTCATCCAAAAAATCGATTGATTCCCTTTTTCTTCTTACTTCGGAAGAACCGATAGATACTATGTATGGAGAAACAGATGCTCTGAATTAATCAATGGAGTTAATTCTTCAAAAACATCATCAGAAAAAAAAAAAGAATGGGGTGGTTTAAAACATCGGAGCAGAGGTCCTGCTTTTTGCTATTTGAATAGAATATTATGATTATGTTGATTGGATGAATTTCCAACTTTTATGTTATGGAATGGATCAAAGTCTCGCTGAAAAAGATTTGTGCCAAAATAACAGATGCAAAGAAGAACAAAGGGCCTTGGACACGTAATGGATCTTGCAGTACTATTTCTACATCTCCCTGACCAAATGCACCCACATTGGGATTACTCGTTAATGGTTDATCAAGCTTGATGGATTCACCCGATGAAACAAGAAGTTCGGGTCCTGGAGGTATAATATCAACCACTTGGTGTCCATCCGATGCATCCGCTATGGTTATTTCGTATCCCCTTTTTACTCTTGCTCCCATCAGGATAAATTTGACCCCTTCCCCTGTTCCCGCCTACGTATATAGGATATTTTAAGAAGTGAAYATCTTTCTTMGTAGCGGGGTCCGGGGAAAGAATAGGAAAGGTAATTTCACTATATTTCTGACCAGGAACCGGACCTATTACAAGAATAATTTTTTTAGTGGGGCGATAACTCCGAAAAGAAAGATAGATTGCCTATCTTTTCTGGGGAGCTAATTCGAATCCCTAAGATAAAATAATAAGAGTCCCTTTTTTTACCATTAGCAAGAACTTGTTTCAGTTGCATATCATAAGGGATTCTAACAACTGCTTCAAATACAGTATCAGGAACTACTAGCTAAATGGCAATTGGCACATACAATGCGCCCAATCGCTTCTGGTGAGAGACCTAAAAATATCTTATTTTCTTTTTGGTAGAATCATAAAGGAAAAGTATAGGGGACAATTTGACGAAACTGAGCATGCTGAAAAGGTCTTCTCGTTTCTAGTCTCTGACCAGCAGCCACCGTTATTCATCATACACCTTGCAGGTCTATAAAGGAATTTATAAATTTTTTCACCTGTCATGTTCTCAAGACAACTTAAATGACAATAAGCCAAAATATGAAATAAAATTGTCACCACTTAATCATTCCATGGAGCAGCCAAGTAATAACTTTGAAACCTATTGTTCCAAGCCCTTCCCTCTCTATCTCCCATCAAAATTTCTTCTCTAATGGTTCAA